TAGCAAACTAAACAGTGTATGTACTGCCCAAAAAAGGCAGCCAGTTTTCCAATTCTTTTTTTTTTTTTTTTTTTTTTTTTTGAGATGGAGTCTCACTCTATTGCCCAGGCTGGAGTGTAATGGCACAATCTTGGCTCACTGCAAGGCTCGGATCGCAACCTGGCTTCAAGCGATTCTCCTGCCTCAGCCTCCCAAGTAGCTGGGATTATAGGAATGCACCACCATACCCGGTTAATTTGTATTTTTAGTAGAGATGTGGTTTCACCATGTTGGTCAGGCTGGTCTCGAACTTCTGACCTCAGGTGGTGCACCAGCTTCGGCCTCCCAAAGTGCTGAGATTACAGGCATGAGTCACCCCACCCAGCCTCCAATCCATTTAGACTTGCTTTGGCAAGTGTGAATGCAGTACTATCAGGTCTTCTGATTTTTTTTCAAGAGAAGCTAAAATCCCTATTTTAAAATAAAAATAAACATTTTGAAAACTAAAACATTTCTGTAGTGTGTATCATACAGTGAACGTTTTGCCTTCATGCTACTCACAGGCAGTTAGTCTGTGACCTCTGCTTTTAGAACTATTAATACCTTTTGTGTATTTCACTTACCTTTTACATTGATATTATTCTGTGCTTTTCAGATAAGTTTTAACAGCTTAATTTCATTGCTTTATAAGAAATCTATTTCTAGCTGTTGCTTTTGCATTTCTACCTCTCTATCTTTTGCTTCTCCAAATCCCTCTTCCATTTTTTTCTTGATGTCAGAAGAGCTTTTAAAGCTAATTATCTATTTTAAGTATAGCATTTTTCACAAAATGGAAAAAATGGAACTACACAGTATTTTCAAGCCACAGCACAAAGAAATCCATTTGTTCTTGTGTTTAGTAAACTCAACTACAGACATACATGAGAAGAATTGACACATTAAAGTGGAAGCAATGAATTTATATACAGTGAATGTATTTTGTCTGTAAATCCATTGGGCAAAAGTTAGGTTTTCTTTCATTTCTCTTAGTAATAAATTTTCTTTTCTTTTTCTTTACAATTCAACTTTTGTTTCAGACTCAAGTGGTATATATGCAGGTTTATTATTACTTGACTCTGAGGCTTGAGGTGTGAATGATTCTATCACCAAGTGGTTAGTGTAGTACCCAATAGGTCGTTTTGTAGCCCTTACCCCCTACTCTTTTCTCCTCATCTAGAAGTCTCCAGTGACTACTGCTGTCATCTTTATGTCTGCGGGTACCCAGTGCTTAGTTCCCACTTGTGGCAACATGCAATATTTGGTTTTCTGTTTATGAGTGAACTCACTTAGGGTAACGACCTCTAACTGTGCCCACGTTGCTGCAAAAGACATCATTTTGTTCTTTTTTATTGCTGCATAGTATTCTATCTTGTATATGTACCACATTTTCTTTATCCATCCACCCTTGATGAGCATCTAAATTGATTCCACGTCTGTGCTATTGCGAATAATGATGAGATGAATACATGAGTACGTGCCTCTTTTTGGTAGAATGATTTATTTTACTTTGGGCATATGCCCATTAAAGGGATTGGTGGTTTGAATGGTAGTTCAACTTAGTTCTTTGAGAAATTTCCAAACTCCTCCTCACAGTGGCTGAACAAATTTACACTCCCACCAACAGTGTATAACCATTCCCTTTTCTCTGCCGCTTCACCAACATCATTTATTTTTGACATTTTAATAATAATAGCCACTCTGACTGGTGTGAGGTGGTATCTTACGGTTTTCATTTGCATTTCTGGTTTTCATTTGTATTTCATTTTTGGTGATTAGCAATGTTGAGCATTTTTTTTCTTATTTTTGTTGGTCACTTGTATGTCTTGTTTTGAGAAATGTCGATTCATGTCCTTTGCCCGCTTTTTAATGGTGTTATATGTGTTTTGCTTCTTGAATTGCTTAAGTTCTTTATAGATTCTGGATATGAGACCTTTGTCAGATGCATAATTTGCAAATATTTTCTCCCATGCAATGATTTTCCTTAGAAACATTTTTCCATAGAAAAATAAAACTAGATTTTTAGGTTAGCAGTGGCAGAAACTACTGGATGTCAACAAATTTAAAATGCAAATTTTAAATTTAATATTAAAATAAATAGAATTTTTATATACTGTATATCTACAAAAATGCTCTTTGAGATTTTTTTAGACATAGATTTTTATCAAATATCACATAAAATCACACTACTCTGTTTCCTTGTCTTTCTGCAGTAACCCAGTGCAATTTTTTTGAAGATAATTTTGAATCATAAACTCAACATATGCAGTAATGCAAGTAATTCAAATGAAGTGATGACAATATAAAACACTTATGATCAAGTTCAGGAGCATGTAGGCAGTGACAATTATGTTGTGACTGCCACCTGGCCAACAGTAATTCATTTTAAGATGAATTCCTCTTTCAGAAGAAGCGTAAAAATACCCATATTAGTATTAATGAAATACTCTCATCTATAGTGCTTAAATGAGTTTCTGAAATATTAATTTTATAGGAAAACTTTTGTTAACTTTCCTTTAAACTTTAAAAATTTTTAAAACCTTATGTTTAAAAATAAATTATTTCCACAACACCATCAATTTTTGGTCAACAATTGAATTGACTGAATATTTTTCACTGCCCCTTTTTGTCTAGGGTGACCTGCAGTGCCATCCACTAAACTGCTCTCTTGCTTTAAGAATGAATAAAACTTTCAAAGTAACTCACAGCTTGTAACAAAGAACTGAAAGGAGACAACATAATGAATATAAACATTTCAGATTTGATAAAAACAAACATTTACCTAAAGCTCTAGGTTGGGTACTTCAGGGAATTCAAATAGTAATAAAAATATTCCAGGCCGGCCACGGTGACTCATGCCTGTAATCCTAACACTTTGGGAAGTCGAGGCAGGAGAATCACTTGAGGTCAGGAGTTTGAGACCAGCCTGGCTTACATGGTGAAACCACATCTCTACTAAAAGTACAAAAATTGGTTGGGTGTGGTTGCAGGCACCTGTAATCCCAACTACTGGGGAGGCGGAGGTAGGAAAATCACTTGAACCCGGGAGGCAGAGGTTGCAGTGAGCTGAGATTGCGCCATTATACTCTAGCCTGGATGACAAGAGCGAAACTCTGTCTCAAAAATAAATAAATAAATAAATAAATAAATAAATAAATAAATAAATAAATAAGTATTCCAAGTGTGCACAATGCAAGACTGACTGACAAGAGTATTCAATAGAGGTACAAAATCAAAGGGCAGTAGGAGAATCAGGAGAGAGTATTATAAATTCCTGAATATAAGATACATCATTCTCCCAAATAAATAATGCCTCAAAACAAAAGGTCCTTATTATCAAAATGTTTAAAAAAAGCCTTCTCTGAGGCATCACAGCGTAATACTTAATGCATGTACTTTGAATTCACATTATCTCTGTTCAACATCTAATTATTTACTGCTCGTGAGTTCTTGGATAACCTTTCAGTTTCATCATTGGCTAAAAGGGAGATACTGATATTACTTACCTCCTAGCCCTGTTGAGAGAATTTACAAAGCTAATAATGTGTCACAATGCCTGGTACAAAAATATATGTGTTATAACATATGTATTATTTCTATATTTCCTATTATTGTACATTAATCTGAATGGCAAAGTACTAAATTCCTGAGGTTGAAGAGGTATCTGCACTCTCATGTTTATTGCAGCACTGGTCACAATATCTAAGATATGGAATCAACTTGTGTCTATCAATGAATCAATGGATTAAAAAAATGTGTCATGTATACACAACAGAATACTATTCAGCCTTAAAAAAGAGGAAAATCATGTCATTTGTGACAATGTAAATGAACCTAGTGGGAATTATGGTAAGTGAAATAAACAAGGCATAGAAAGACAAATACTGTGTTATCTCACTTACACATGTAATCTAAAAAAGCTGAATTTATTGGAGAGTGGAATGGTACTTACCCAGCTGGGAAACAGGGGAGTTGGGAGTGATACTGGCGAAAGCACACGAAATTTCAGTCAGATAGAAGAAATAAGTTCAAGAGATCTAGCATACAATAGGGTGATCAAAGTTAATAACAATGTATTGTATTCTCAAAAATCCCTGAGAAAGTAGATTTTAAGGGTTCTTACCACAAAGAATGTAAGGTAGAGCATATGTTAACGATCTAGTTTTACCCATTCTACAACATAAACATATTCCAAACATGTTGTCCATGATAAATATATACATTTTTATTTGTCAATCAAAACTTTAGGCCGGGCACAGTGGCTCACGCCTGTAATCCCAGCACTTTGGGAGGCAAGAGGCGGGCGGATCACGAGGTCAGGAGAGGGAGACCATCCTGGCTAACATGGTAAAACCCAGTCTCTACTAAAAATATACAAAAAATTAGCAAGGTGTGGTGGCAGGCGCCTGTAGTCCCAGCTACTCAGGAGGTTGAGGCAGGACAATGGCGTGAACCCGGGAGGTGGAGCTTGCAGTGAGCCCAGATCGCGCCACTGCACTCCAGTCTGGGCAACAGAGCAAGACTCCGTCTCAAAAAAGGAAACCAAAAAAAAAAAAAAAAAACAAAAAAACTTTAAAAAAGAATTTACCTTTTTCTAGGCTTAAAAGAAAGCTTGTACCTAAAGCAGAGAATAAGCTACTGAACAAATAAATATGAAGACATGAAGAAAAACGCCTAAGCCAAAGTTCCCCAGAAAATACAGCCTGAGACAAAAACCTATATGTGAGCACTTTACTAGGGAGTGGATCCCAGGGAGCAGGGCTGAAGGATAGGGCTGAGATGGAATATAGAAAGGCAAGGAAAAAATTATATCATAAACACGCCTGTAGTGGCCAGGCTTGGTGGCTCACGCCTGTAATCCAGCACTTTGGGAGGTTGAGGTGGGCAAATCACTTTAGGCCAGGGGTTTGAGACCAACTTGGTCAACCTGGAGAAACCTTGTCTCTACTAAAAATATAAAACTAGCCAGGCATGGCAGTGCATACCTGTAATCTCAGCTACTCAGGAGGCTGAGGAAGGAGGATCACTTGAATCTGGGAGGTGAAGGTTGCAGAGAGCCAAGATTGCAAGACTACATTCCAGTCTGGGTGACAGAGTGATGAGACTATGTCTCAGAAAACAAACAAACAAACAAACAAAAAAAAGCCCATAGTGTTGAAGTTGTTGATTGTTAAAATTTGAAAATGTGAATCAAAATATTTCATAAAATATAAGTGGAAAAAGTATATTTTAAAATATAATTTTACTTCTATGGATAATCATGTAAATTGATAAATAAGTAGACATTTGCTTATTTTATCTATATACCTAATTTTCATATTTGGCAAAAGCAATACTGGATTTTCTTTTAGAGAAAAACGGAAAGATTATTTTAAATTCTGTTGTGTAAATAATTCTTACTATCAGAAATGTGGAAAGTCTTGAGAAGGAGGTAGGATTTGGATCAAATCTTGAAGAATAATTTGAGAAAATAAAACTAAATGCATTGAGTGGTTACTATTTTTTAGGTGCTGCAGATATATAATCATATTAAATTCTCATAGTATTATTCTCAGTTTACTTATGGGGAAACTGAGGCTCAGGTAAGTTAATGAATTTGCTCAAAAAAATGCTGCAACCTATACTGGTTCCATTTTGAATGCTGCCTTTTCTAAGCCGCCTACTTTTTCCAAGAGACAAAACAGTGCAGAATGGAGCCTGGAGAAGACTGGGTTGGAATTTTGCCTCTCCTACAGTCCTAATTGTTTGATTTGTGTAAAACACTCAATTTTTCTGTCTCTTAGGTTTTCTTATCAAGGAGATAACAACATCTCTCCAAGGAACTGTTGAGATACTTAAATGAGCTCTTGTAAGTAAAATGCCTGGAACAGCAATTGGCACATAGTGCTCAATGGGTATTAGCCATCATGTTGTAAGAAAAAGTAGGAGGAGGAAAAGGAGGGAGAGAGGAGAGAAGAGAGTGAGGAGGAAGAGGAGAGGAGGAAGATTTTCACTATCTCAAATTATCTCCTTGACAATCCTAGAGTGCATTTGGGAACAAGGGATCACAACAGTAAATACATAGATAGGTATAGACACACCTTTACCTGGTTTTTTACTAAAACTCTAGGAAAAATGGGCAGGAGCTGGTCATTGTGGAATCATTCCAGCCTAGATGAATATTACTGGGAATATATGTTCCAATAGTCTTGAAAGTAAACAGATTTTCATGCTTTTTTTTTTTTTTTTTTTTTTTTTTTTTTTGAGATGGAGTTTTGCTCTTGTCACCCAACCTGGGGTGCAATGGTGCGATCTTGGCTCACTGCAACCTCCACCTCCCAGGTTCAAGTATTCTCCTGCCTCAGCCTCCTGGGTAGCTGGGATTACAGGCACGCACCACCAAGCCCGGCCAATTTTTTCATATTTTTAGTAAAGATGGGGTTTCACCATGTTGGCCAGGGTGGTCTCCAACTCCCAACCTCAGGTTATCTGCCCTCCTCTGCCTCCCAAAGTGCTGGGATTACAGGTGTGAGCCACTGTGCCTGGCCCATACCCTAATCCTTGTTAAGCCAATTTCCCTGTGTACTTTGCTCTCTGAATACCTCACTGTGAAGGCTGCAAAATAAAAAATGTATACCCTAAGAATATAGCCTAACTGTGTTCAATGTATTCACTATTTACTACTTAACTTCTTTAAGTTTCAATTAAACCTATATTTATAAAATTGAAAAAAGAATTTTAACTCACACATGTTGTGTATACACAGCATATATGTTAGGTATTTGGCTAGAGTCTGGGGACTATCGATCAATTAATGAAATGTAGCTTTTGCCATATTTCCTCAGACATCTTTATTTTCCTCCATATATTAAGATTCATTAAACCAGAATACATCTTATAACTAATGTAAACATTCAATAAGTGAGCACTGTTCTTCTTTATTTCCCAGGGCTATTATGAAGTCATTGTTGTACCTTGTAGCATTTACCTTTACTTCCCCTTAGAAAACACTAAATCCAGAGATTGCATTGTATTTGGTAACCACTGTATTTTCAAAATGCCAAACAGAGATTAATAATTTTTAAACAATAAATGAGTGAATAATAATCAAAGAACTAAAATATTTTTGCGAAGAGGGAGAAAGACAATTTCTCAATTAGTTTATAAAATCTAGCAAGCAAAGTAACTTGAGGACAAAGCAATGCTTGAACCTCCCAGACATAACTGATCTAATAATATTTATTTATAACCCATCTTGTTTCGATGGGTTACAATGAGAAAAATAGAGCCAGGCGTGGTGGCTCATGCCTGTAATCTCAGCAATTCGGGAGGCAGAGGCAGGCGAATCACTTGATGTCAGGAGTTTCAGACCACCCTGACCAACATGGTGAAACCCTGCGTCTACTAAAAATACGAAAATTAGCTGGGCGTGGTGGTACATGGCTGTAATCCTAGCTACTCAGGAGGCTGAGGCGGGAGAATGGCTTGAACCCAAAAGGCGGAGGCTGCAGTGCGCTGAGATCGCACCACAGTTCTCCACGCTCCAGCCTGGGCGACACAGCGGTACTCAGTGGAAAACAAAAACAAAAACAAAAAAGAGATAAATAAATGAGAAGTATGTGAGAATTTGGAGAGGGAAAAGGGGAAAAGAAAACACACACACACACACACCCGTAAAACGAAGCCAGAAAAGAGCCACATAAATAAAATTTCTCCTGTAAACGCTATAGAAATCCAAAGGAATAGTTCCCGTGGTTTGGAAAATGTCAATAAAACCTTCCTGGTGGAAATGAGGTCGGCTATGAGGTGTTAAGTTCAAAAGGAACTGGATATTTGGTATCTCTAGCCAGACAGCTGCTTCAGAGTCTCCCCAGGGAAAGACGGTGCTTTTGGGCAGGTAGTGTGGGTGAAGGTGATGACTGAAGAATCCTGAGGGCCCAGGTTCCTGGGAAGCCTCTCTCTTTCGGCACTTCACCAATTATCTCATTTTCATAATAAGGTCTGCACTTTCCTTAATTGCTTCACTTCCATCAACAGGAACAGGGGAAAGATAAATACATTTCACCTTTTAATGAAGAGAATTTCAGGTAGTCTGTGGGAGATGTTTATTTAAAAAAAAAAAAAAAAAAAAAAAAAAAAGGCTGGTAGAGGGCAGCGTCTCAGGTCTGTAATCCCCAGCACTTTGGGAGACCGAGGCAGGTGGATCACTTGAAGTCAGGAGTTTGAGACCAGCCTGGGTAACAAGGCGAAACCCAGTCTATACCAAAAATAAAAATAAAATAAAATAAAATAAAATAAATTACCTTGGCTGATGGTGCGCGTCTGTAATCCCAGCTACTTGGAAGGCTGATGTGGGAGGATAGCTTGGACGCAGAGGAGGAGACCCAATGAGCCGAGATTGCGCCACTACACTCCAGCCTGGGTGACAAAGTGAGACCCTGTCTCAAAAAAAAAAAAAAAAAAAAAAAAAAAAAAAAAAAAAAAAAAAAAAAAGTCGTTGGTTTGTGAACTCACTCGCAAACAACTGGGTTTTACGGACTCTTAGATATTTGGAGGTCTACAAGGGTTCCTTGGGATCCCCTATTTTCGTTCGCTGCCTCCTTTGTCAGAGTCCAGCTCAAAGGGGAAATGCCCCTCTGGGATCTAACCATCACAGGTGCAAGAAGGAACAAATTTACATAGAAGCAGCCTGGGGAAATTAGTGCCCTAGATGAGTCTTCAGTTTGAGAAACGCTGAGATAACACTTTATGTACTTGGAAGAGTAATACTAATGATCAGTCGTGGCGAGGTTCCGCCCATTTGACATTCAACCCCCCATGAGTGCGCACAGACAAACCCACTGGCCAGGAGGAGCCAACACAAGGTCCTGGGCATCTCCGTCCCGGGAAGGTGGGTAATGCCCCTGTCGCTCTGGGCTCCAGGGCGCGCCCCCGCAGCTTCCCCAGCGGGGTCTGGCGCCTCCGGGCCAAGGTGCGCCAGGTGGCGAGGGTGCCAGGCGCGGCCAAATCGCGGCAGTCTGAGTCAGTCGCCCAACTATGCTGCGGAACCAGGGCGGCCGGCTGGGCCGCCCCCGCCGTTGAGCTCCGGCTTCCCCCGCGCGGGTCGCCTGCTCCCCGCCCCCGCGGGCCGAGAGGAAGCGACTGCCGAGGCGAGGCGCAGGAGCACCTGAGCAAGGCGCGGGCGCCGGGCTCGGCGTTTCCGGAGCTGAGCGCGGGTCCGCGGCCCGCGCTCTCCGCGCTCCCCGCCTTCAGGTGCTGCGGCCGCGACGCGCCGGCCCCACTAACAGCGCCGCCCGTGCGGTCGCCGCCAGGCAGCAGAGACGGCTGCGGACAGCCGGCGGGGACCGGGAAGGAGGAGGCCTAGCGCCTCGGGCAGAGGGGCGAGGACCGAGCGCCCAAGGCTAGGAGAGACACTGGCGCTGGGCTTCCCAGCGCCGCCTCACCTCGCTTTTAGAACTCCGCGACCCGCGCGCAAGGCGAGTACCCAGGGCCTCGGGAGGGCTGGGCCGTGATGGCCAGCGCCGGGGTGGGAGGACCCTGTCTGGAGGGGTTGGGGCTTTTCGACACTTCACCGGGTAAATTTCCTGAGCGCAAAGTGCTTGGCGCTGGTGTCCGCCCCTTGGATTTCGCGTGTGGGCGTCTGAAAGGAAACCAGAAGCCGGTAAGTGATCCAAGAACTCCACTTCTGGTATTTGACCCGGGAGGGTGACGATCCGGGTGGACAGCTAGACACTCCCTCCATTCCTCTCCCCCACCTCCAAAGAAGAAGAAGCTGTAGTGAGTTTTAGGCACCAAATTATTTACTCGGTAGAGATCATGACTTTGCCTGGGTGTCTGTGCTGCCCTGCACCCTGCTTGTTATCCACGTTAAGACGACTGGCCTGTTAATTAACTTTAATTACGATCATTTGGCCTCCACCTGCCTGAACCCGATACCTTACACGGGAACCTGTATGCAGTGAGTTTACCAGATTGATCTTTCTTGTTTACTTTTGGAGACAGTTCTCTTGGGAGAAGTGGTGACCATCCTATTTAATAAAGTAAGTTTTATTTTCTCTAATTCTGGCTTGTTTTCTTAAACACTTCTCCCACCTTGAGGTGATCTAGAGTTATTTTGATTTGGGGAAAGGGTTCGTGGAATTATATAGCCTTTGATAATCAGAGGAAAATACAAGAAAATAAGCTAGTTTGTGTGGAATAATGACATCTTAGGCTGTTGTAAGATAAGTATCCTGATAGCAAATTCAATTCTTTTCTTTTCTTTCTTTCTTTCTTTCTTTCTTTCTTTCTTTCTTTCTTTCTTTCTTTCTTTTTTTTTTTTTTGCAAGCTTGTCCTTGAAGTAGGCTGTTCGGTAGAATGCAGCCTTCGGTTAAAAAAAAAAAAAAAAAAGTGTATTGAAAATAAGCTATTTTTAAAAGTACATTTAATAGGATGTCATTGTTATTACCCATAATAGTATTGTACTTACAAGCTGAGTATTGATTTCCCTGCACTTAAGCACTCTACACCCCCATGGGCTCATGGAACTTTGCCCATAAGTAATTGGAAGACGAAGTTATGGGTGTTTTAAAAAGGAAGCTAACTTTTTTAAGGAAAAGAGAGAAATACCTTTAAACTCTTATTGATGACTTCCATACACTTATAGGAGAAATATTGAGAGAAAATGCTCACGACATTCTTTGTCCAACAACGTTTAAAGAAGAAAAAAAAGTGGGTCATGGAACTAGGCTAGGGTTAAGTGCAAATATCTTCCTGGCTTCTTTCCAAACATATTTAATACATATTTAAGGTGGTTCCTAACACGAAGAGGGTTTTATATAGATTTGTCAGTACTCAGAGATTTATTTAAATTAAAATATACCTAGAGGGTGACAGAGCTTGTTAAAACTTATTTATATGGATGTGCATGTGTTTGTATTTTTTCCTTCCTCTGTAAACCTGTCAGATTTTATGTGGCTTGTCTGTAAAAGGAGAAGCTGATGGTACATTTAAAAACAAATTCTTGTTTTTCTAATATCACTGCAATCTCCTTGCAGTGTAAGGCTCATGGGTATGCAATAATACTTATCAGATCCAACTATTCTTGGATACTGTGGGTAAGTATAGAACTCAGATTATAATGAATTACAGTTTTCTGAAGAACTTTTACATTAACGCATTGAAACTATGAGGTTTTTAAAGTCTAGTTAGGATTCTGAGTTACAGACTTCATGGTATATGAGAAGGTTTTTTTTTTGTTGTTGTTTTGTTTTGTTACTTTCTAACCTAGTTCCCTGCAACTGTGAGAAAGTTTGGTGAAAGTGACTATACAAATGCTAAGTATAAATGATAGTCATTGCTTTAATAGTTTTCTTTTAGCACACATTTCCACCTGCCCTCATTTATTTATTGATACATTTCTTGGATACAATCTTTGCACATGCTACGTAGTGAGAATTTTGGGAATTCTTGGTGAAATATTAATTAGGTAGAGAACTTCTTAATAATCTGGGAAATATGTCTTAGCTTTGACCACATACGGTGGATGTGAGATTAGAGGCTATGAGAGGCTGTCTTAATCTTTTCTGCAAAGTTCTGGACCTTGTAATTTATCATATTAGTTATTACTTCTAAGTATTGGCCAGATTAAATATGTAATAGTAGTTAAACCATTTTGCTCACTTGTTTCTGTCTTTAAATGAAACAGTACTCAATGGTATTCTCACGTGATCCCTTCTAGTTAGAAAGTTGTCCTGTGAAATTTTGTTTCAGTTTCTGTTCAGCACAAGCTTACTTATTTACCCCTGCTGCAGAGAAAACAAAGGAGGCCTCATTTGGGTTGAAGTAGTCATTTTGGGGGGTAGATGTGAGGTTTTTTTTTTAGAGTTGCTGAGAACTCATGAAGGATGATGGGGCCACTTCTCTATGTATTTAAAACAATGCTAAAATATAAAACCATGTGGAAATTAAGGTCATAAAATTGGATTTTTCTCACTATTACAATTTAAGTGCTTTTTTGAAATATATCAAATTCTTTGCAAAAAGTTGTTTTTTGTGGTGTTTTTGGTATTCTTTATTGACACTTAGTAGTAATGAACTGATTGTCATATACATGCCATTTTCCTTTTCTTATAGTCATGTCTAATTTACCCTTTTAGATTGTAAACTATTGGAGGGAAGACTGTATCTTCACTTTCTTTTTAGCCCTTAGCACTGTTGTCAAATCAGATAGTAGATGCTGTTTTGTTGAACGCCAACTATCTCCCTGTCTTATCTTGGAGTGAATAGTGTTGCTTCATATATATTGAATGAATACATTTAAAAAAAAAATGGACCAGAAAGGTAGGAGATGTTTTCTGAAATACCTTGTTTTTATAAGAAAAAGAAACTTTGACAGTTGCTGAACCAATAGGAATAAACCCTCAAACTCAGTTGGAAAAGAGGTCAGGGTACTATTTATAAATGCAAAGAGAGGAAACACTCACAGTAGGCTATTCTGAAACATCTGGTTGTTTGTCTAAAAATATGACATACATTCAGAGAAATGGTGGAGTATACATTTATACAAAAGTTTTAAAATTCTGCTTTTGTAGAAACTCTGGAAGAATAAGTCATTCTCTGATATCCCAAGAATTATGGTTCTACCTTAGAGATCTCTCCATTGGAATTTAAAAAAAAAAATTCTCAAATCCTAGTAAATTAACTTAAAATCTGGATGGACAGCTTGAAAGACAAAAGACTTACAGAAGTTAAGGAGATTATCAGGCATTTAACTTTTGTGATATTATCCAGAACACCTAAACCTAGGTATCTCCTATGCTACTGATACGTTCTTTTACTAAGTAAAGGAATTAGCACTTGTGGTTTTCACTGGATGGAAATTAATATTAAGTTTTAGTTTTTTTATTGTGTTTTTCAGATTGCACTATAAGTAAAATAATTAAAACACAGCTTAGAAAATCCTTACTCCTTGATCCAAGCTACAAAATGATTTTGCCTAGAGCCTACCTATTTTCAGTTAAAATTTCTATTATTCTCCATCCAGAAGACACTAATTAAATGCTTGTTGCTTACCAGGTGCTGTTCTAAGATCTTAATGCATATGGGCTCATTTCATCCTCAAAATAGCCCTGTGAGGTAGGTGGTATTACTTTCCCTGCTTACAAATGACAACAGTGAGGCTCAGGAAAAGAGAGGAATTCTCCCAAGGCCTCGCAGGTAGCACATGGCAGAGCTGGAATCCCTGGTAAATCACTGTGCTTTGTGTCCCAGGTGTTAAGTCTTCAGGTGTAACTGTCATAATTCTTACAACTCTAACTACATCTATACATTACTACATTAATAAAACTATGTTGACTGCCATGTTAGGTGCATTGTGGATTTATTAGAAGAATGATTTACAGTGCTAATTTAAAGGAATGTAATATTACTACGCAGACAGAAGAATTCTATTCAAACTGAGTGCAATAGAGTGGTATGAATATGATTAAAGGCAATATTGTATACAATGGGTAAATTAATAATAGCCAACATTTATGGTGCAGTTGTAACTCATGTCAGATAGTCTTATATATCTTAAATATTTGACTTGTTTAATTCTGACAGAAATACTACACGATATGGGGTATATTACCCTTGTTTTATAAATGAGAAAAACAAGCTTCAGGAAGTTAAATAACTTAATCAAGATACATAGTTAAAAAGTGGGGAAGCCTGGATTGGAATTCAGGCATTGTGCTATCTATACTTACTGCCTGGGTGGAACTAATAAGGGATTGAGGAGGGATGGGATAGGCAGGGAAGCCTCATGAGTGTGGTGTTACTGTACTTGGAAGACCTGAATTGGCTCCCAAACGAGAGTAAAAAAGTCCAGGGATGTACAGGGATTTCAGTTTGAATAAGAGTTGAGATGCTGGCCCAAATCTTCTAGTCTGTCTTCTGATCTCCTTTTTTACTGGGTAAAAAGAACACATACTATAAAATTTACCATCTTAATCATTTTTAAGTATATAGTTCAGTAACGCTAAGTATATTTACATTGCTGAGAAACAGATCTCCAGGCCATTTCCAGTTGGTAGAACTGAAACTGTATGCTTGTTAAACAACTCCTTACCTCTCTTCCCCCCTCTCGTAGCCACAGTTCTACTTTCTATGAATTTGACTATGGTAGATACCTAATGTAAGTGGAATCATATATTTGTCTGTTTTATGACTGTTTTTTCACTTAGCATAATGACCCTCAGGGTTCATCTATGTTGTAGCATATGACAGTATTTCACTCCTTTTTAAGGCTTCTTAGTATTTCATTTTGTGTATATACTACACTTTCTTTATCCATTCATCCATTCATAGACATCTGGGTTGCTTCCACTCCTTATCTACTTTTGCACTACATTTAATATTAAACCTTTAAGACCATAGTCAGGTATCTTTTTTGTATTAATACTTTCTTCTTCTTTCTTCTTTTTTCTTCTTCTTTCTTCTTCTGCTTCTTTTTTTCTTTTTTTCTTGAGACAGCATCTTGCTCTGTCCCTGTAGTGGCATGATATTGGCTCACTGCAACCTCTGCCTCCTGGGTTCAAGCGATTCTCCTGCCTCAGCCTCCTAAGTTGCTGGGATTACAGGTGTGTTCCACCATGCCCAGCTAATTTTTGTGGTTTTAGTAGAGATGGGATTTTACCATGTTGGCCAGGCTGGTCTCAAACTCCTGACCTCAGGTAATCCACCCGTCTGGGCCTCCCAAAGTGTGCTGGGATTACAGGCGTGAGCCACCATGCCTGGCCTTAATACTTTATTTTTTTCTCAAGCAGATTTGTATTTGTATTTGTTTTTTTTTTTTTTTTTTTTTTTTACCATAACCATTGACTTCATGTGGGCAGTGAATACTTATTTTGGTCATATTTGGTTATTTGATTTTGGCTTCACATTGTTGCACTCTATCAATTGTACTATAGTCCTGTGTTAGCTGTCTTTCTGAAGTGATAGATGCAAAATAAATTTTAATAGACGAAATTCTACATTACCATTGCTTTATATAGCGATTATAAAGATGTTCTCCCTTAATTTGTCATTGGCTGTCAACTCTCAGGCAATTAAATGTAAATGAATGTAGGCTTCCAGGTTTAGCTACGTACATGGACACATATCAAACTTAAATGACGTATATAACTTGAATTTGCAAGATATGGTATATTTAAACAGCATTTCCCTAGTGTGAATATAAGCGCTTATGAATAGCTAGACAAAGGAGAGGGAGACTATTAAGTCTTTGCTACTTCTTTACTATTAAATCAACTTTATATCTACTATGAGGCATTACAGTTTACAGCACAGGTTATGGAGTCTGACTCTCAGAAACACTTAGTGTTTCCACTGTTTACCTATTGCGTGACATTCAGCATGGGATTTTCCTCCCTGCAGCTGTGAGGAGTAAATGAGATCCTACACAAATGGTTTGCAAATACTCCACAACTATTGGCTATTATTATTAGCAATGCAATTCTGAAGGAGAACGAAAGAAGATGGATGTGTTTTGTTGGATGGGAAAGGAGTAGTGATTGAGGTAGAGAACAGGGGCAGAGGAGGTAAGAGCCTGTGAGTGACCTCAATTAAAAGAGATGACCACATTGAGGGAACTGGGCTTCCTGTAAGGGGTTTAATGGGGCTGGTGTTGTCACACCAAGGTAGGTGAATGGATGGCGGAGGAGACAGATGCCAAATAACCCGTTTTATACTTTTTCTGGGGGCTAAGCACTCAGAATAGAAAAATAAATTAGTAAGCCTGACCTTTATCCTTTTGCAGTCTGCTCTATACTGTGGGATAGAGGAAGGAATGCAACCATAAGCATATTTTCTCTAAAATACTTCCTCATCTACATGGTTCTGGGGAAGAGTCAAATTGAACATGTCTTTGTCAGTACTTGGAGTGATTATCTTGATAGTAGTTTGCTCAGTGTGCAAATAACACAATACCTATTTCTGTATTTTGTGCTGAAGCAAAGATGGTGTATTGGTCCATTTGTATTGCTATAAAGGAATACCTGAGACTGGGTAATTTATAAAGAAAACAGATTTATTTGGCTCACAGTTCTGTAGGCTGCACAGGTATGGAACTGGC